TTCTTATGTTTAATGCTACGTAAGTGGCCTGGGAAATTTTTACTTATTATTGACTCTTCACAAATTGAACAGTAAATTGATTTGTTCATGGTTTTTTTAATGATGTACTAAATAAAATGTTGACAAATAATACACAATGTTATTTGGTAATCTTGTCACCGTAATAAATACCCCCCTTGGAAAATCTCTTGCCTTCGGCACACAGCTTCTTTACTTGTTTCCAAAGAGGATCATCTGGTGTGACCCGAAGACGAAGATTGGCACTCCACTTATCGTGACGCTCTCGGGGGCTACGATCAATTATGTCCGCTGTGTTATACACACGGACATCGAAGAAAATCGCACCGTCGGGCACTAATTCCACTTGACGAATTACGCCACCGACGACCCGTCTCGACAAAGAGGACCACAGAGGACTGTTAGAAGACCTGGTTGGAACTGGCTCGTCGTTTTCTGACCCGAACAGGTCAGTCAATATCGAATCATTTGTTTTTGTGGCAGACGCACTGAAACAAATATAAACAATAATAGTTATTATGATTATTGTTTATTATGATAGAGAGAAAAAAAAGTTGTCACATTGATACGTACCTAGTGACCTTCTTTTTCCTTGAGTCTTTTGCGGTATTTTTACGAGATATCTTTGTTTTTTTTGGAGGTCTGTTGATGAAAAAGTAAATAGGTTGTTAATATAAACATTTAAAGTTAAGAATTTTAATTATTAATAATGTTTAAATTTAATTGGTAAAAGTAATTTCTGTGAGTATAGTTTATGTATATATTTATACTCTGAACAGAGATATAGGGTCAATTACCGGCAGTCTTCTTCGTCTGTTGCGATCTCCGAATTGAAGTCTATGTCAGCAGGCCCGGAAGCGGCGGCGTACTGTTTATTGAACTTTGATTCGGACCTAAAGCAATAAACAAAGAGTTGCTTTTAGATTGATAAACACTGTGAATATGTCTGATAATAACAGAGACATAGGTATAAACTTACGAACATTATTTCAGCGACTTTTATTCTCTTTGACATTTATGAACAAGCAGAGAGACTTATTTGATCACTGTATGAAAGTAATTGGTTCTAAATATTAAAGTTACCTCATTTATACTAAAATTTTCGTAATGTATGTACAGAAAAAATTGGGTGTGTGAAATTCACACATGTGTAAAAATTAAATCAGCACAAATATGACAAACAATTCTATCAAATAACAAAAAATAATGTTTAATTTATTCAAATTTATTGCAAATAAAGGGTCTTCATATTACAAAGCAATATCCGCACAGCGGCAGCGGTCTGATATTATTACATATCTATCAATGTGGCATGATAGACTGGGAGTGAAATAAAGAAAAATAGAATGTACTGGGTGCTAACTTCTGCATGCATATAGCAAAGTCTATAAATTACCGAATATTAACCTTCCGTATCTCAAAGGAAAAAACTAACCCTTATAGAATCACTTTGTTATCTGACAAAATACTTTGTCTCGGGAACGAGTAAAGGTATCGAGTTTTAAAAATTATATAATAGAAATACTTTGGTGTTCGTCTGTTTATCAAGTTTCTTTATCTCAGGAACTTAGATCTACGATCTCGTGAAGCTGTGTAAAAACAAAGGACATTGCTCGTTCCCCATACATTGAATGCCCTAGATCGCCCAGCAATGAGAAAATGCTAGTTGTGTTCGGAATCATTCATAAACTCTAAATAAGCATTTGTTGAGATACGGACAACTTGAGGAACCGTGGCCTACTACAGAATGTATTAGATTTTGAGGTTATAATTATTATACTTAATCATAAAAGATGTACACTTTATATATTCTGAATAGATTTAGTGTTAACCCCTATGTAAGCACTTAAATAATATGCATTAAATGAACATAAAATGCAATTTATAATAAAAATAATAAATGCTTATATTCATATTGATTTTACCTGTAGTAAGTAATGATAGATTTCTTTTCAAATGAAATGTTCAGTCTTTCCATTTACCTGTTTCTATATTTTACTAACGGTAATTAGGTATGTAGGTACCTGGTTATCATTATGATTTTCATAAAAATAAACAGATATTACATGGGATGAGAGTATAAACTATCTTTAGATAATTTCAGAAATAATCTTTTTATAAATATAATATAAATACTAGTAATAAGTATTATTAACTAAGGTACCTAGTTCTATTTTTATGTTGATAAATACCTATGGTCGCCTATATTGCATTACTAAGGTAAACAATCTTGGCACAACTTTTTAACAGAATCACCCATTTAATAATAAAATATTAACGAAGAAAATAAACTATTCAAATAAATCGTTATTATAGACTGAAACCTATTGAATCCAGTTATCAGTTGATTTTTAATGCTGTATTTTCAATAAAAAGGAGTGTCAAGTTGGATGAACAGACTGTAGTATCTAGTAACAGAACTTTTATTTTTTAAACAGATTGTCCGTTTACTATGATTAATTGCTAATAAGTTAAAAAAATAATAGAAAAATAATAGTGAAGGACATTCTTCTGGGCATGCTAGGGCCGATTTCGTCGATGTCCTTTAAAGTTAACGTAGAAAGGTATTAATTTGAAATTTCAACCATATACTCAAGTCTATGGCTCCATGAAGCTTTAAAAACTAGACAATAAGTTAATGTGAAACAAAAATAAACCGCTTATGTTGTATACCTACTAATTTGTACGGAACCCTCGATTGGTGAGTCCAACTTGTCCGATGTTTATTAACTTTTCTTATTTCATTTTAAAGTTTAACTGAAAAAATATATTAAGTAAATATTTCTTGTTTATAGATATGTTAGTTGTCTTAAGCATCGAACCTAGACTAAGATCAAGGTTATAACCACTGAACCAACGACAAAATGCAAGTTAATCATTTGTCGTTCACAGAACTTTTCCACGTTATCGCAACGAAAGCGCAACTTAGCATAATATGGTGTTGACAAAGCTCATTATTCACAGTAAGCTATATAATCGCTGCGTTGTACGAATTGCTACGTTGTTTAGTGTGCTATACTGAGCGAATAAATCACAACTATCAGTGTACATGATCCATTATATTTTAGTTATAGTTTGTTTTTAAGTTAACATCAACGCGTACGGACAGTTTGTCTGAAAAATAATCAATATATTAAGTTTGTGTCGTATGCCTATAATCGCGTGTGTATCAGTGAAATTAGGTGCGTTCCAAGGCAGGTGAGTCTTTATATGAATATACAGTGTAAAATTTCTTACCTATTAAATTCAATATAAGTGGTCTTATACTACATTACTTGTAAGCTCTACATAATCTAAATGTTGTAAAGGAGTCAAGTTTTCATGCATTGTCCGAAATTCATATCAGATTAAAGACTTCATGTTTTAAAACATGTTTTGTAGTCTCTATTACGTTTCCCAATGAAGGGATACATTTTTATTTTGTAGAAAATTACTTACACTTTTAAATATATGGTATAAATGTTCAGTACTTCATGCAAAATGTGATTGGGTCGAATTCTTCGCAATGTCCAAGATACAATATCAAATCTGGGTTGTTTGTAGAGGTCTCCACAAAGCTCGAGACATACAAATCAGCTTAGTTTGTATTTGTAAAAATCCATCACGCTTTGTAGATTGGGGGAAAAACATTTATTATAACTTAAACAAGTTTGTTAATACACTGAGTTCTATATAATGTGTTCAGTACTTCATGCAAAATGTGATTGGGTCGATTTCTTCGCAATGCCCAAGATACATATCAAAACTAGGCTGTATGTAGAGGTCTCCACAATGCTTGAGACAAGAAAACCAGCTTAGTTTGTATTTGTAACGATCCATCACATTTTGTAGATTGGGGGAAAAACACATATTATAACTTAAACAAGTTTGTGAGTATACTGAGTTCTACATAATTGAAATATTGTAATGGAGTCAGGTTCCCAGCAATGTCCGAGATACATTTCAGATTTAACTACTTGAAGTCTTAAAATCTGTTTGAAGGGCTCCTTTCTTTTCCCCGGCAAAGGGAAGCATTTGATTTTGTTGTTACTCATCGGTTCTACGCTTTACGCACTTCCTAGGGCTAAACACCATCAACAAATCGAAAAAAATGAAGTGGGAATTCTAGCTCACAAAATTGCGTTCAACGACGGGCGGAGTGCACAGTTGTGTTGCTGGTGTATATAAAAGTACACCGCCAATAACAAATCGAAAAAAATGAAGTGGGAATTCTAGCTCACAAAATTGCGTTCAACGTCGGGCGGAGTGCAACGAAGCAACGACGTAGCGAGCTGCGCGAGCTTTAAGAACGCAATTTTGTGAGCTAGAATGCCCAATTCATTTACTAATTGTGTAGTTATACATAGCAGCCTCAGTATCAAGGATATTATATTTTGTTAGTTTTAAAAGCCCATCCGTTTCCTTGATGTCCAGTTATTTTCTTATTCTTCCTAATTGCAGTTTGCGTCGTTCTTTATTTATTTTGGAATTGTAAGGATTAATGCAAATGGAGAATAGAATAACACCTCGAAATTGCTGCTGTTAAAGGAAAAAACTTTTCTTAACCTAAAAGGTACGCGCGCGCCAGTGACAAGTGAGTCAACTGCCTGATGTCATTTTGCGCGCGCTTGGAGCCCGCCACGCGCCCCGCGTTGAAACGACGAACGTTACTTGGTCGCATTGACTTCGTACTATTTGCAAAAACATGCGTAGATGGCTTTTTATACGTTCGAAAATTGATTGAAATAAAGGAAAATCTGCAAAACAAAATATGTTAGGTTGTGGCGTCTTGTTTGATTAGTACGAAAATGAAATAAAAAGAAAAACGTGAATTTGTAGTTGACTTTATTTACTTTGCACCCGTCGAAATGACACTCTTCCAATACGCATTAATTTTTTGTTGGTGAAAAGCTTACTTATTTAATTTCAAAGAATACACCTTAACTTGAAAACGTTTTTACTACTTCATAGATATACGTTTACAAAACAAATTTTTGTTTCAGAAGATGAATGACGTATCTCCGGAAATGAAGCCTGCTTCTGCTCCAAGCTCATTGTTGACTCAAGTATGTTGCTAATTGTACTTTTTTATGTATAATACAATACAAGTAACTGAACTAACTGAAAAAGCGTGGGGCGATATTCATATTTATCAAATCAATTAATATATTACGTGACTCATAAAGCTTAACAATTCAGTTAAAATTTTATAATGAAGCGCCCCACGCTTTTTCAATTCTATATATAGTCGTGGTCAACTAATTAGGGACTTACAAGATAGTGAAGAGCAATAACCGGTTATGTACATATAAATATAAAACCCTATTCATTTCTCAGCACCTATTATTTGCATAATTTGGTCCGATTATTATGCTATAAATGGCTGTAAATAAAAGAATAAATAATTAGAAAAAAGTATTTAATATCAAAGGTTGAACATGTTTTCAATTTTAAGGTATAATTCTGTTCTGACATTTAATTAAGGACAGTAAACTATAATGAAAAATAGAGTTAAACAAAACTAATAATCTGCAGTATTATAATATCTTTAACAGCTCCATTTTATTACGTGTAAAATCAGTACCCAGTAGCAAAACCTTTGTTAGTAATTACCGCTTGACAACGATGTGGCATAGACATTATCAGTTTCTGGCATATTTCGACAGGAATGTTTGCCCATGCCACACAAAAAGCTTCATTAAGTTCATCTAAAGTTGTGGTACGATAAGTGGCAACTTTTTTCTTGATTTCGTGCCAAAGTTGCTCGATTGGGTTAAGGTCCGGGCTATTTGCTGGCCAATCTAGCACCGATACTGACTGACTGGTAAGAAACGACTTGACTGAACGAGCGGTATGTTTCGGGTCGTTATCATGCTGAAACGTCCATATAATAGGGAGATGCTCCTCAGCATAGGGAAGCATCGTTTCCTCCAATATTGCCTTGTATTGATGTTGGTCTAAGTTACCCTGAACTTTCCTCACAGGTCCCACTCCAAGTCCAGAAAATGAACCCCACATTTTAATGTTTCCACCGCCATGTTTCACCTGCTTTTTTGTAAATCTTGGATTCATTTCCGCTTTTACTGGACGCCGTACGTATTGCCTTCCATCTGAAGAAATCAAATTAACCTTGGTCTCGTCAGAGAATAATATATGTTGCCATTGGGCGTAGGTCCAATGTCCATATTTACGTGCAAACGCCAAACGAGCATTTCTATGTTCTTTCTTTAACAACGGTACTTTGCGAGCCACTCTTCCGAACAACCCTGCTTCTACCAGACGTCGTCGAACGGTCCTCGCTGAGACACCAGCTCTTTCGTCTGCCCCAAACACTTCGTGTTTAATTAAAATAGAGCCTAGAAACGGATCTTTCTAAGCTAACCTGGTTATCATTCTATCTTCTTGCGGAGTTGTTTTTCTCGATCTTTTCGTTCTGGGCACATTTAAAGCTGTGTTATTGCGTCTGACATGTTGCACTGCATTGTATACCATAGTTTTTGAACAATTTAAATGTTCTGCTATCCTTCGGTATGGCCAACCATGCTCGACAACAAACTTCATGATAATTTTTCGTAGTGTTGGATCGCAACTTTTATTTTTGCCCATTTTTCTTCAAAATATTTTTCAAACCTCATAATAAAAATCGGGATTTCCGCCAAAACTACCACGAAACAATAAGAGAAGGAGTAAAAAAGTATTGAGATTCAAATTTTGAAAATAGAACGCAATATCTCATTGTCCCTAATTAAATGGCCAGCCAGCATTATTTGAACAAATAGCACTATGATAATCTATCAGCTATACTGTAAAGAGGTTTAATGTTTTAGAAGTTGTTATTGTTTGTATAATCGGGCACATCAATGACTAATTATACTTACATGTAAAAGATATTGAATATTTTAAAACTCGTTGAAAAAAAATAAAAAAATCACAATTTGGCTTAGCTAGAGATTATCCCTAATTAGTTGACCACGACTGTATATAATTATATATATCTATATATTAAAATAAATTATTAACATGGCTAACTCTAAGGCCCTAATGAAGTAAACAGAGAGTATATATTGTTTATTTTTGGCTTTTTCGTGCAGTAAATAAAAGCGTGTTTTTAGTTTTTTTAACCTATTAATTTAATTTACTACTTTTAGTTTCAGTCATCAGAAAATTTAATAGATTATGTTAAGACGAATCTAATGAGCCCAAACTCGATATGTTTACTAGTAGGCAGTCCAAGCTTCTATCAGCCACCTTCCAGTCCCATCATTAAACCAGCTCGATGGTACCATAGTATTGTATTGTCTTCTAATCTACATATAATTGCCAAGTTTCATGATGATACAAGAATTAGAAGTGCGTGCAATTCAGATTCTTCGATTTTATTAGATAGTTACTTACATACAAGTCGACCTAATAAAAGCTGCTGACCTGTTAAAAACATATATAAATTATCATTTATTATGTTTGATTGCACTAAATTAGGCAGTGCTGATTTTTTGGTATTTTTAGAATAGTTAATAACGGTTTGCAGTTTCAAAAAAAATGTGCTAACTGCGTGGTGCTTGAAAAACTCTTTTTGTTTTTTAACTTTTAAAAGTACCACCCAGAAAATTATACTTTTTACACATAAAAGTCTTTCGAAGTTGCCTCGTCGGTAGTATATCTATCTGCTGACGCGATAGTATCAGCATACCAAAAAATCATCATCACTGCAATTTTCTGCAAAGTTCGATAACTTAACCCGCTGCAACTGACGTGGCTCAATTTTTACAATTCTGCTGTCGTGCTAGTATACGATTATACCATTTCAATAGCAAATATTTTTAAGAATTAATTTATTGATATTCATTAGATTTTTAGCTTATTGTATATGCCAAGTAAACTTTGAATAAAATAATTTGTAATATTAAAATTAAACAGTGTTAATTGACTACACTCAAATCAGTCTATAAATAGCTACTTTAACATTAACGGCATAGAAAATAATATATTATATAATAATTCATTTTATTTGTTTCTTAGGTTTTCACGCACATCACTCATTAAATAAAACTAGTTTTTACGGGTTAATGCACGAAAACTTTATTTATTTATTGACGTTTCGTAGCCTTTACAATCTACGTCGTCAGAATTCTCGTCGTAAATAAATAAGTTTTCGTGCATTAACCCGTAAAAACTAGTTTTATATAATTCATCTTTTTTTTATTTAACAGTAGATTTAAAATATCATTAATCTGCCTAGAAAAATTTTTTTTTTCTTGATTTCATTATCAAAATTAACAATTACAAAGCTCATAAGCACGCCTTAAATCGCAGGGATTTATTATAACCTTTTGTTTTGTAGGTTTTCGTGTATTAATTTTATGTTGATAATCTGGGCTGTAATGTTTGACTAAGAAATTGTTCTTTTAATAAATTATAGTGTTATTTATATTGGATATGTAAAACATTACAGTGCTTAAAAAGTTTTTTATCATGATTTCTATATAAGTAGTTCTTTATTTTAGGAGATACAATTAGCTTCAATATTCTAGTTTTTAATGTATTTATGTTGTTAACATAACTTATATATTCATTGGTAGGTTGACTTCAAAGTCAAACAGTTTCAAAATTTAAGCTTTTTTGGTCAATTATCACATAGTTGTCCGGAAAACTGAAGGTAAATTGGCTTCGAACAATTACAGCATCAGTATTTAGTTTTTCTTTTTATTCTTGTTGGACAAATAAAACGTAATTGTGGAACAGCCTGAACTACTGGTGGTGGAGGGGGTACATGCTTATTAGGTAGGTAAGATGGCTCTAGTAGTAGTCATGTATGTGTAGCTCCCTTGGTAATTCTTCATTGTATACTCGGGTTTCATATAGATAGCAGTTTCTTATTTTAATAATACATAGCCTATTACAATGAATGCCTACTATGCCCAGCATAGCAGTCTACCTTTGCAAGATTTTCATTGGCCAACGACTGGTTTTACGGTTGCAACAATAAATCGAGCATTTCTTATACATCTCCTTTAATCCACCTTTTGTATGAATAAGTATAGTCTATAATCATAGCTGTTTTTCCTGTATAATTAAGTATCAATTTCTCAAATGTGGTGATAAGAAAAACTGATGTGGTTCTTTAGGAGACACTGAAAATAATAATAACTTAAATGTGTTTTCATCTTTTATATTCATTTATTTTATCAGACAATAATACAGTCCATTTTGTTAGCAACATTTGCCCTTACAACTATATTAGTAAAAGTATTCAAAAGTATTAATATTAAGAATCAATTCCTTCTATAATAGCCACTGTTTACATAATTGCATTTCATAAGATGAGATTTCATAAGATGTTACATAAAAATAAAATAAAATAAAATAGAACAAAATATGTCAAAACAAAATAAAATGTCAACATAAAAAATAGTCAATGGTAAAATTGAAGATATTAAATTTATTTTGTATTAATTATGATCCAGCTCTATTACATTTTATTCTTTTGATGATGCAAGTCAGTAAACCTACTAAAAAGTGATGAATCCAGCCGTTCAGCAATCAAACCTAAGACTCCATTACTACTCCCCCGAACTCTTTGCATTAATGAGGTGGTTTTCTTGCGGATAATAGCATAAAAGTCATCTGTGTGTGCGTCCATAAACATGCCTGATGCACTGCAGTATCGTGGGAGGTGCAACAGAGTCCTAAAGATATTATTATATTGAACTCTCAAGGCATTGTACGACTTTTTAGTAAAAGTGGTCCAAAGGCTGCAGGTGTAAAAACTTTGGCAATATGCCTTGAATAGTGTCAGTTTAACGTCTGCAGTACATCGATTAAATTTGTGTGCTATCATATTGCCACGGACCGATAATGCCCTCTTTTCCCTTTCAATGTCAAGATCATCATTCAATTTTTCAGTCAAGACATGGCCTAGATATTTAAAGTGAGAGACACGATCTAAGGTAACATTATTTAAAGTTACAGGCGGTATATTACTAGGTGTTTTGTTTTTTCCTGTGAAGATCATAATTTTTCTTAACATTATACCTTAAACCATGTTGTTCAGCATATTCTTCACATATTTTAATGAGTTCTCTTATGCCGTTGATCGAGGGGCTCAGCAACACCATATCGTCCGCATAGCTTACATTGTTTACACAAATATTATCAATTCTGCATCCAACATGCGTATTGCTGAGTCGTTCGATCAACTGGTTTATATACAAATTAAATAATCTCGGTGAAGTGAGACCTCCCTGCCTGACACCGCAGCCCAACGCATATTCATCAGAGAAAGCATTACCCCATTTCACCAGATTCCTTTGATTACCGTACCAGTAGCGGAAAATGTCTATCACCTCTTTTGAGACTCCTGACTCGCAAAGCTTGGCCCAGAGTAAGTCATATGATACCAAGTCAAAGGCCCTTGACAAGTCTAGAAAACATGCATAAATAGGTGTTTTCCTTTTAATGTAATAATCTATTGTATGCTTAACAGTAAGAATTGCGCTTTCAGTGGACAAGCCATCCCGAAATCCAAACTGGGAATCCTGTAGCTTTATATGTTTTATGATATAAATAACCATTTTACTGAGGTGGTAGTCTAATGGATACTTACCTTAACACTGATGTGGTGTGGTAATGTCGTGCACACCTTCCTTTCGCTACTCTCAACTGTGGTCGCAGCGACCATTCTAAGCACATACATCGACGCGCGAGCTCTCAGGAAGGTTCTATATATTCGGTGGTTTTACTTTTTGAGCTATTTTTAACTCAACGGGTTTAACGATAATAGGACAGGAATAAATTTTAATAAAGAGTGTCCCGGGCTTATGTTTTGCGGGCCGATCTTTTGCTGATGATGCTCATCCTTATATTTATGTAATAACAAGCGGCCGAGGTAGGTATTGGCTATTGTATGATTGATAGCTTCAGGTACTATTTTCACGTGGATTATTAAAATAAATTTTGTGCTTCACATTTATTACCAGATATGTACTTTAAATGTCGAAAACAAACAACAATACCCCTTCAATACACTACCTTAGTTACAGTCAATGTGTTTGAGAGAGGCGCGCTCATGGTAATTAAGTACCTTTTTAATAAAGCTTCATTAAAGTTATCTTATTATATTTTAAGCGAAAAAAATCTACTCTGTTCAGGTTTCAGACGACTTGAAACCTGAACCACGGTAATAATATCATACAGTATTCTATCTTCATACAAACGGTCGGAAAGCGAGTCATACCTACGCCACTCGAGTTCGATGTGCTCTCAGCGGGCACCCAGTCGCGAATGCGCCGCCGCGCCGCCCAGTGTGACCAGATTAAATTTTACGAAAATACCGAGGCACCTCAAAAAAATACTGAAATATACCGACTTACATAGGACAGATATACCAATAAAAATACTGATTTTCTTAACACATTTTATTTATTCATACGCACAATAAATGTTAGAGTTATATTTTAACATCCTTTTCGAAAGATTAAAAGTTACACAACCTCCTTCATTTCTTCACGCTCTATCTAACAGTGTAAACCGCATTAAAATCGGTCCAGCAGTTGTAAAGTTTTACGCGAACATACATTCTGCAAGTCTGATTAATACTATGTATTGATTGATAATTGTATATGTAGTATTACAATACTACAACGCCGACAACGGCCGTCTTTCTTGTCATATCTGTAACTTACTCATAGATAACATGTATAAGTATAGGTAAACTAAATCCGGGAAAGTCCATAATGATCGCGTTCCGGGGAATTCCGCAAACATTGTCGCAAAGACGATCACTCACTACGGTGTTGCCATAACTTCTACCAAAATATACCTAAAAATACTGACTGCCAGCAATATACCTGAAAATATACTGATGTTCGGAAAAATCGATGAAATATACTGAAAAAGTATTAAAATACTGAATCTGGTCACACTGGCGCCGCCGCGCCGCCGCAACGACGACCGAACGGTCTGAATTGTTTTTAAAGCAGTTAGCCGTGCTTAAACGTGCGTTTTGTATTGTAAATATTTGATTTAATCAAGTAGATACCTACATACTTAATTTAGTATGGAAAAGAACAAGCGACGATCAATATCGTACAACAGCACAATTGCTGTTTTTGGTTGCTTGAACTGTTCAATAACACACCCAGAGATATCATTTTTTAAATTACCTGAAATATTGGAAAGGTGTCTTACCTTTATAGAATATTTTTATATACCTATCTACTAGTACGTTATTTGTTTCTAATATTTAGGTATTTCGGTTTTTCCATCGGGCAAAATATCTGGAATAATATATAAATAAGTGGTTAGGATGAAAAAAGAGATAATCTACCTACACTCGCGTTAAAAACAAAACTACATAAAATACTGTAGGCTGGCGGCCCTACCGCGTGCCAACGCAGCGCTCGGTCCTAGGCATTTATTTTCAAGGACAGGGCGGAGTCACAATACTGTATAGATAAAATTACTGTGCCTGAACCGCGTGGGATTTTTCCACGAATTTGTCCACGGCACAAGTGAGCTAGTATGTATACATTCATTGTTCACAGTAATACTACTCGATTGTACTTGTACATATTTAGTCTATCGGAATATAAGTAAGGTCTGTATGGCGGTCCTGGAATTCTACTCTTTATAGATTACAGAACAAAACTTCTTTTGTTCTATGTAATCTGAGTTAAAAGATTAAAAGTTTAACCTCATAAACCCGGTGGTAAATTAGCATGAGCTATGTCAATTATACTATTATCATTCTATGTAAGTAATTACTTCATATACCTACTTACCTAGTTCTGTTGATTAAAATGCTTATTTTTTTCCAGACGACTTTGTTGCTGGGGCCAGAAAATGGGGTGACAACATGCCCTTTCTGTCAGGCTTTGGTACGCACTGAAATAAAGCATACCACTACAACGCGCACCCACACGCTTTCATTACTATACTGCTTGATATGGTAATGTACCTTAAAAAAATATTATTTTGGATTTTATATTACATTTCTGTAGTATAGTAGCTAACCGCGAATTTATGAGAATTCCTCAGGAACCTAACAGTATAAAAAGTATTCTATGAATCAATCCAGGCAACATATTGCATTCTAAATTTCATCCAAACCCGTTTAACCATTTTTGCGTGATTGATTAAAAACACACAAACTTCATACCTATAAATATATAGCCATAGAACGCAACAATAACAGTAAAACAAAGCTAAGCATAATAAATTACCTACCTACTTTGCATAAATATCACGCCCGTAGCCACATACGTACTGTCTCTTGGTCTTAATCTTGATCATTTTTATTTGGTATGGTAATGAGGGTAGAGTTTAAGTCTAGAAACAAAAAAAATAAGGTTTTTGACTTTGACCTTATTGCTTTCCCGCTTCATTTCAAACTAAATAAAACAAGTTTCAACAAATTAAGTTATACAATTTTAATGATCTAGTTGAGGGTCTAAAGGACATGTTATATTTTTAATGACTATCCTTAACTGATATAATCCATTGCTTATAATACCGTATGTATTGTTAATTACCGTCATTTATTTTAAAAATAATGTTGGTTATGATTTTTCGTCGATGTAATAAAACCTAGATAGGTATAAAACACATTTTTTTCAATACTTACTACTCGGATAGATTTTGACGCGGGTTAAAGACTATTATTAGTCTAACGTTTAATGCACTATTATTCAATGTTGGGCAGCACTTGATCCAGCATCCATACAAAAATGGTCTATCTTTTTTGAAAGGGGGTAAAATTTATTGCCATGTATTTGCTCAATAATCCCCAAACACAGCCATCTACCACATATTTAATTTCTCAGTAGGTACCCTAAGACTCCTTAGGATATTAGGAACGGTACTTTATTTCTGGAAATTTAAACCCTCAAACCATATGGAATAAAATTAATGTCATGTTGAATGAAAAAATATATAAAAAGTCATTACACGGTGCCATTAACCGGCAGGTTCGGATTCGATGAGCAGGGCCTGGTGACCTTTAACACAGGTATTGCTATACCTATTTCAGGCATCAGACTCTCACATCTTATGTAAGATTATTTCCACATTATATAGCGTCCCATAATATGTAGTAAGTTGTAAAGAGTAATAAAACATTATATTATTAAAAAAAATCCGCACGCATAGTTTGCATTTAATCGTCTCGAAATAACCGTCTATGTCATTAAATGTAGGTTCACAATATTTTCTTTATTATAGTCATGCGCAAATGATGCAATATTTAATATCACAAACACATTATAATATATTGAAATATATACATTACATCATTTTATTGTAGTCAGACAGTAGGCATTGTTATTATTAGAAACCGCAGAAAATAACGATATAAACTGTTATTTTATTTTTGGCACATGCCTTGTCTAAATTACAGAGAATTAAGTTTGCTAAACAGTAATCTTAATCACAGTGGCGGATTTGCTTTCTCAGCATTCACCATAGACTTCATAATGAAATTACTTTATTGCCAACTTTATCTAAATAAATTTAGAAATTTAGGAAAAAAATACAGTGTTACGTTATAGAGAGTTGTCGTTAAATGGAAAGAAGAAAACTCTGAATTATGAAAAGAAAAAGTTCATTTGAAGCTAGTAGTTACGTACATAAATGAATAATCTTATTTGAACGCTCTTGCGTATATTCTGTTATTTTTGTCTGACGTCTTTTGCTGTAATTTTGTTGTATTATATTTTTTTGTAGTCATGGTCAACAACAGTCTACACGTGCAAACCCAATTCGTAAACAATAGAACGAATATCTTAGAAAGTTTGGTTTGCATGATGCCAACAATCGAGTTTATTATGGGCTAGGATAATAAAGCGACAAAAGAACGTACACAGCTGCGCGATTTTCACTAATTTTGGTAACTTAAAATGTACTTTTTATTACTTAATTGTTGTCGTTATTGAAAACTTTTTTGCCATTTTTTGTTCATCAATCTATTACAAAAATGTGACACACAAAGTCTACTAAGCTTCCGCAGTCATGGACCAATAATATAAAGATTAGCAATCCACGTAGGATCAGTTCGCCTGTTCGCGTCCATTTAGTGCAGTTGGAAAGTTTGACGGCGATAATAAAAATATCCCAGCACTAATTTCTATGAAAAATTTATGTAATGTGTTCATTATATAGTCTATTTTAAGATTAACTTTCAGTTTTGTTCGAAACATCTATTGTTTTTTATTTAAATAGATAAACTTCGGAATAAGGCGTTTTACTCACTGGTAACGCCAAAACATATTCTAGTCTCTAAATTTCATACCGTGTCATTCTCTTTTCGAATTAACCGCATCCCAATAGATCCTTCTCCTTCAAACACTGTGCCTTATGCTTATGAGGGAAGAAGACGCAATATATTTGCCTGCAACGACGGATGGCCGGAAGGAAATGGCTCTGTCAGCAGGCTGTCACCGCATCAACAAAAAAAAAAAGTACTGTCACCGCGTAAGGACGAAATGGTCGTATTTTTCATCGCTCCGCAACAATTGTGATATAGATATTTTTCCGCATTAAAGTCATATAAATAAGTGTGAAGATTAATAAACAATCTTTAAGTGAACAGTTTTCGCAAATAGGAGGTTTGTGTGTGATTAGTGATAGCTATCAAAAGGGACTTTCTTGACCGCCATCTTAAACCGCTGGCATCAGGACAAGACTGCTGCAGGAGAAGCCGGCGTATGAGCCAGCGCCACCATCGAGGCCCTCAAGTAAGCACAGTGTTTTTCATCCTATCCCATTAACCAAACCCCCTTAATACTTCGAACCACACCTACAGTCCACTCTCCGGGGTTTCGACCCCACCAGATATCCTTTACCGCATTCGGCTTCACCATTATTGGTCCTTCGAGCCGGATCTACCGCTCATTTTCCGCTCCGCTCCAAAGAAATATTTTCGTATTATTTTCTAGTTTACGGTCGGTTATGCACCTAAACTATTAAATCCCGCATTTCGCATTATCAATTATTATCGTCCGCATATTACTATCGTACCATTTCGTTTATTAAATAATTATCGTCCGCATATATTGGGTAGGTTCACATAAAACCCTTTCCTACCTACGTTAGACGACTCGCTCGCTTAACCATTTCCGCTATAAACAAATATAAATATAATACTATATTTATCTTCGCCGCTCATTTATTGTTATTCGTAATAATTCACTTTCGAGTTTGTCGATTTGAATTTATTTTCGCTAAACTATAAATAATTTATACCTATCGTAATGGCTACCGAAAGTAATGCACCTTTTGAAATAGAAATTCAAGTAGCTCTGTCGCGCCGTAACACTATCTACGCCCGCATACAGAATATTTTCGACTTGTATCAAAAGGTTAACTCTGGTCATGAGCAACTAGAGACGTTTTTGTGTGCTTGTATCAATCTAGATACAATACGCACTGAATTTCGCGACGCAGTAGATAGCTATAATACCTTTGTTCTTAAACAAAATTCGAAATCCAAAATAGATACGCATTCATGGTCAACATTTGAAGATTTATACTGCCGCATTAAATACTATTATGATTCTTATAAGACAAAATCTTCACTTGTACCTGCCGCTTCGTCAAGTAATTCCGATAAACAAAAAATTCGCTTACCGCCCATTGAAATTATGTCTTTCGATGGTGACATTCGCAATTGGCCTATGTTTTACGCTAACTTTAAAAGTATCGTTCATGATAATAATTCATTATCTGACTCGGAAAAACTGTACTATTTACTAGGTAAATTATCTGATAAGGCACAGTCCGCATTTTCTGGTATTTCCCCAGATGGAAAAAATTACCAAATTATTTTCGATTCTCTTATAGAAAAGTATGAAGATAAACGCATGCTAGCCTCCGCATATTTAAATAAAATGATCGAGTACAAATCATTTAGTTGTGCATCTATTAATAATTTCGAGTCATTTACAGATAACTTCGTTTCGTCCGCAAATGCATTAAAAAATCTTATGATTGACAACCTCGCAGATTTTATTTTATTTCACATTGCTATAAAAAAGATTGATGGTGAAACCGCTCGACTTTTCGAAATGAATTGTACAGAAAAAATACCAAAGTTTGAAGGTTTAGTTCAATTCGTTAGAGAACAATATCGCATATTACAAAATACTAAAACTCTTTATGGGTCGAATAATACTAACTTTAATAGTAAAATTGTAAACAAAAAATCGCTTAGCTTTGATAAATCTCATAAAATACCGCAACCGCATTCATACACAGTTATTAATAAACCGGGTAAGTGTTTATGTAGTAATATCGTACATGAACATTTATATAAATGTCCGTCGTTTTCTCATATGTCGCCTGGGGATCGCTTTAGGTCTGCCAAAGAATATAGTGCTTGTATTAATTGTTTGAGTATAAAACATCGTGTCAGTACTTGTAATTCTACAACAACATGTAAAATCTGTTTTAATAAACACCACTCGCTTTTGCATTTCGATAATCGCAAAAATAATAGTTCGTCGCAACTTTCGAGCGATAACAGTGCCGCGGGTTCTAGCGATCCAAACTCGAGCCCCGTGCGTTCACCTGATCCAAGACCAGTTGTATCGGCCCGAGAAACAACGACGACACCACGAGAGCCGTCGAGCGCTGACAATACACTAAAGTGTCACGCGTCCATTGCTTCGTTACCTACGAGCATGGAAGATTCACGCCCGAACGTAAAGCAATGTAACAACTTCACGGTTTTGTTATCGACCGCTGTAATTATGGTTAGGGATGCTCGTGGCAAGGAACAAACTATTCGCTGTTTGCTCGATAGTGGCTCGCAAGCAAACTTTATTACATTGGATTGTTCCAAACGTCTAGGTTTGCATAATTATTCTTCCGATACTCTTTCAGTAATGGGTATAGGGGGCACGGAAAAATCCGTAAAGGGTTCCGTGCATTTTCAATTTTATTCTCGTTTTAATC